TGAATGACCACCTAGAAACAGCCCTTGAAAAATTTTGGGAATCTCCCTCTAGCCTGGAAGGACTATGCATAAGTTTGAAATTCCAGAAAAACCAGTCAACTTATCGTGGTTCTGAACTTTGGTTTTTCTCTGATATCAGAGGACTTTCTCCTCTACCAAATGAGGATAACTGGGATTCTAGAAAGATTATGTATTGTTTTCACTTAGGTTAGAGGATTGAAGATTTTTTACATATATGTAAAAAATACATATGTGTCAGCACATGTATTATGGTCAAAATATTATATCTTGCTTTCAAAAATATAACCAGGATAATAAGCAAAGTTATTGTGTAATTTACTTTAAATTTTTATCAACACTTAGGTTGGTAAAGATTATAATTATGCTTTAGACTAAATCATACCTCTTAGAGAAAATTTTCAATTTATAAATGTGTTTATTATTTTGTTTCCTTAGTTTTGTTTCTATTAATAAAAAGTGTAACCCTCAAACTTGATATGGCAATAAATATGAGATTTTTTTCTCTAATTCAGTTATTCACTGAGATGTGGAAAAGTAGAAAACCCATATTTGGCCCTTAAAAAGCTTCAGTTATCTGAGAGCCCCTTTTCTTACATTATTAATTCTTTTTTCTCTCTAAAGTCTGTGCCTCTATGAAAATCACTGGCTTAAGGTGAATTAATGGTCACCTGAACACATGCAAATATTGTTTGCCTTTTCCCTCAGCTCAGACGAGAGCCTGGGTCTCAGTTTCAGCCGCGGGACCCTGGTGCTGGCTGCACCACCTCCTGTCTATCAGGTCCCAGGTCCACGTCTGGGAAATCATGGGCTGGACCAAGGGGAGAGAGATCTGTGACCTGCACCTCCTCGGTGCTTTCCAAACGATGATCCTTTACAACAACGGGGTGCATGCCGAATAAGTGCGGGAGATGCCTCACATTAGGTCCTCCCTTTTGGAAATTCCCAGGCGTATTTGCATAAGACTCTGAGAAGCACTGCCTCAAGGAAACACATTTAATTTTATTTAATCCATTGTTTCCCAAACCTGTTAGACCCTGGAACCTTTTCCCCAAATAACGTCACTGAATACCCCCCAAAACTAGTGTTCTGCAGAATGCACTTTGGGAGACCACCCCGTGGCACTGGACACATAGTAGGTACCTGATAAAAATGTCTTCCTTGGTTTTGGTCTCATGCCCAAGTACAGCACTAGAACTCCAGGGCTTCTGTCTGCTGAATCCCCCAACTGACGGCATTTCCAGTCAGGCCCCAAAGTCCAAGTAGGAACAGAAGATATTATTCCCAAACCAAGACAGTGGATGGGGCAAGGGGGAAGCCACAGTGCGTGTGGGTCTGCTATCCCCGGCCCAACTTCTGGCTGGAGCATGCTCGGGGCAAAGCACGACCACAGGCTGTAGCAGGTGTATGTGTGGGGGCGCATGCTCAGGCACGGCACGAGGGAGGCCAGCACTCAGTGCCTACGCCTGCCCCCCCACACACACATGCACGCACAGCCCCTCGGTGGAAACCTGTAGGGTTTACACACAGAGGGGTTTCAGTCACATGCTGTTGAAATTTAGCAGACGTCAAGGAGAGAGTCAGAACCACCGACAAGGAAAGGGAAGGAAGCGATATCCACCGGGGGCTTGTTTTCCTAGAGATGAGTCTGAAGGTCTGGGACCCGCCCCACGGAATGGCGTCATAAACAGAGAACAAGAAAGGATCTAAGAGATCCTGTGCTTCCACTCTCTCATTTTCCAGAGGGAGAACTTGAGGCTGAGACTTTGAAGTTAAATGGCTGCCCTGGCCAGTGAGTGCCAGATCTGAAAAGAGGGCTCAGGGCTCCTGATGCCCAGGTCGGGGGCCTTCCCACTGCCTGGCTCCAACACAGGGCTGACCACAGCTGCACACACGAGGGGCGTGACTGAGGACAAGGCGGGCAGAGACGTCCACAGGCTGTTCAATTTTGTTTCCCCGGCTTCTTTTTCTTCTTTATATTTCTTTAGCCTTAGATGATTATACATGTTTTCCCCACTCATACCTTATTTGAATATATTCTTCAGTGAACTGATATTTTTTAACACCTAGAAGTGAAACAAAATTCATAATTTTTCACTGTTTTCCACTAGACTTAAATCTAAAACTGTTAATTTAAATCTCTGGCTCCTACAGGTAGTATTGAAAGAAATCCCTTCACGGATATTTACAGGGAAACATTTCCTCAGTCAGCAAAGGTGTGCCAGGCACTGTTGTAGCCTTGGTGTTCGTGATGAATAAAACAGACTCGGATCCCTAAGCTTGTGGAAGTAACATCCTAGCACAGAGACTTGGGGCCGTAGACAAGAAATATAAAAGAGAAGTAAGATATGCTGTATGTTAGCACTGTGCTCCTCAAACTTTAATGTGCCTGCAGATCACCTGGGGCCTGGTTAAAGTGCGGCCTCTGTTTCAGTGGGTCTGGGCTGGGGCCCGAGGGTCTGCGTCTCTAACAGGCTCCCAGGTGATGCTGAACTGCTGGTCCTGGAAGCACACTGTGACAACAGTGTCTGAAGATGTGTGCAGCAGGTGAGCCCACTGCAAGGGGGAAGACGGGTGGCCTTGCTTTAAATGGGGTTGATCAGTGGAGGCCTCACTGAGATGGGACATTTGAGCAAAGATTCGGAGAAGACGAGATATGAAGGTTTCTTGGTTGGGGGTTTTCAGGCTGAAGAAACAGCCGGGACAAAGGAAGCTCACGTGTCAGCAGTGGAGGGAGGGAGAGAGCAGGAGATGAAATGAGAGCAGAACCAGAAGCACCAGGAGGCCAGGTTGCAGAGGCATTTACAGTCCACGCCAGAAGTTTCGATTTTACACTAAAGGAAGTGGGGAGTCATTGAAGTTGTGCGCAGGGCAACGCGCTGGCCTGACTTCCGTTTTACCAGCATCCCTCTGACTATTTGTTAAAAATAGACAGTTCTGGGCAAGAGTGGAAGGAAGGCCAGTTAGAGGCAGGGCAGAATTGTCTTCTGCCCTCATCCTTGGATGGAATGTTTTACCTGCTGTTGCCTTTCCCTGTGCTCACTCATATTACAAGGCTGAGCAGTCTGGGGTGCCTCCTTTTGTCCCATTCCCCCAGCCCCTAGTGCGGGTGATATCGGAGATGGAGAGGCAAATATGGTCGCTGAACTGGCCGGCAGCTCAGACTCAGTTCTGACGTTAAGCTGCCTCTCTGCTGCCCTGCAGGCGGCTTTGTATAACCACACACCCGGTGGCAGTAGGCTGTCAGCCTTCTCCACGGGAAGACCCAGATCAGCCTTCTATTTTCCACAGCATGCCCGGCTCCGTTCCCACTCCGTGGCGAGGCATTTCAGTCTGACTTATCCTGCCTGCACGGGACTCCCACTGCCTTTCCTGCTGTTGGATCCGGGGCCCGGCAGGCCTTGACTGGGCCAACTGCTGGCTCTGTTTTTGATCTGGTTCTGGTCCAGGGACACGTCTTCTTGATTTCCAGAACTGCTGTGTCCTTGTAGCTTTCTTGGCTTCACTTTGTCTGCCACTGCTGCGTGCTTGGAGTCTGGTGGGGCAGGGGGCCATCTCAGAGAGGCAGCTGCCCTGCCTTCTGGATCAGACGCCTCCCTGCTCCAGTCTACTTTTAAACAAACTGAATTTTCCAAACACTGTGATTTGTATTCACCTGAAACCCACGATTCTGCAGTTTCCACGCGCTGGTCTTAGTTGTGAATTCTTGAGCCAAGAAAACGTCTTGAAACTCAAAGGAAAGGTACTAAAATGAAATAATTTTTACCAGTCACGCCATAGACTCACAGAATGTTAGAACTGGAAGGGTCTTACATGTCACCTGTTTATGGCTTCGTTTCATCAATGAGGCATCAGAGAAGGGAAGAAGTTTTTCTAAGATCACACAGTGGTTAGTGGCTGACCCAGGACTAGAACCGAAATCCATTGCTTTGCCCATCACTCCGCAGCCGCAGGGGCATGGCCTCAGTGCACTGAGTCACGAGCACCGCAAGTTAAAACCACGTGACCCACATAACTTGCCACATCAGTGTCCTTGCTGCTCTGCCTTCTTAAGACACTTTATCACAAGGTTCCCTTGTTATGCACACTGATTTTTCCTCCATTGATGTTACAAGTGAAAGAAATATTCTGACTTAAAAAGAATCAGAGCTTTGCTTAGAAATAAACTCACAAAATAATAGTTGGGAAATTTCAAGTTAGTGAGCATATGTTAAGATATTTAATTATTCCTTTAATTAGATGAAATAGTTTGGAATGTATTTGCCAGAATAAAACTACTAATGTCTAGTAATTTTGTGTTTTCGATTGATATGAAGATATTAATTCAACTTAGCAAATTGCTCTACGTAAAGAAGTGTTCGTTACTGAGCACACTGATTATTAACACATATATCTTGCATTCGTGCCATGCTTTAAACTTTTCAGACTATTTTAACTATATTTTTTATCCTTTAACCTTATAAAATCCTCTGAGATAGACAGTGTTTGTTTTAGTATTCCCTTTTGAAAGATGAGGAAATTAAGGCCTGGAAAGAATCTATGACTCATTTAAGATTATACATCTAGTTAGCGGCAGAGCCAGGATGAATCGTCAGTTTCACGTCTCCTATCCATGCGATCTTTCCAGAAGACACAAGTTATACAAGACTGGGTCTTGTCCTACCTGTTTCAGTGTTCCGTCTCTGATGCTAACACCAAAAAAAGAATATTGTATAAGAATATGAGCACCCTGTTGACACCATGCTTGGTGATTACGATTTATAACAAAGTAGTTTTACCTCCCTTGTCATCATCTCGGATTCCTCATTTACTCCCTTAAATGTTGACTGAATACCTACTCTGTGTGAGCAACGCGTTTTTGTCTTGTAGATCATTTTAGTAGCCCATTAAAGTCTTCCATCTAGTGGGAGAGTTGAATTTGCCGGTGGACTCAGGAAGTTGTCCCTCTATCGGCTTGAATAGCAAAAGACACTAGGATGGAATTGTGCCTGTTTTCCTCCCAACTTTATTTTAAAAATTTTCAAATCTAAAGGAAAGTTAAAAGAGGTGTACAGTGAGTTTCCTCACACCCTTTAACATTTTTTGACATTTTCTGTATCTTTCTATTTATGGGGGTTTGGCTGTTGCTGTTTTTTTGAACCGTTTATCAATAGATTGCAGACTTCATGACACTCCATCCCTAAACACCTTGGCACGCGTCTCCAAGAAGAAGGGCATTCTCCTCTGTGGCCACATTGTCTCTGCTTTCAGTCCTGGGGAGAGAATCTTTGCTTGCAGAGAGGGAGTCGAACCAAGCAGACCAGCTCTTCCCTCTAAATCTCCCCGTCTGTCTCACACAAGCCCTGCTTCAGCTGTCTGGATTCCTCTCTTCTTTTAAGAAGCGTTTTCTTTTCTTCTCCCCAGAGCCCCAGGGCATGGTTGTATGTCCTAGTTGTCAGTCCTTCTAGTTCTTCTGTGTGAGCTGCCACCACAGCATGGCATGGACAGACAGGTGGTGTGGTTCCTCAGCCGGGAAGCGAACCTGCGCTGCGGAAGTGGTGAGAGTGCCGAACTTTAACCACTAGGTCATCAGGGCTGGCTCAGATTTCTCTCTTTTTGAATCTTATTATGTAATCTTATCTCAGTGCTTACTTGAAAACAATCACGGAAAGAGGAAGCAGAAGACAGAGCTTGTATTTATAGACACAAGGGGTCTTAGAGTCACAGCAAATGATGGAGGAATTGGTTCATAATTTTTGAACCTGAGTTTGTCAAATCATTAGTGCAACACTTGTCTGGGCCAGGGGAACTTGCAACTTGTTCTCCCTCTGGTGGAGTCAAGAGAACAGTCCCACTGGGTATGTCCCCCTGTTTGCTAGGATCCCAGCCACTGCAGGAATCAGCCTGGATTTCCTGGGCTGCATGCATCAGCTTACTGAATTTGGCTGGTCTGTGTGAACTTACACAGACCCTCCTAGATTCCAGGGACAGGTGGTCCTGGAACCAGCTGCTCCTCTTGCATTTTTCCTGAGTGCCTGAGGGTCCGTGGAGCCCTGCTGGTGGTGCCGGGCGAGGTTCCTGTGAGTTACTGTTTCATGTCCCAAGCTTGTCTGAATAGTTTGTTCTACAGAGAATTTACACTTTATAAGCCCAAGTTTTTTTCTGTGCTGCCATCTAGTCCTGAATTTGGAAGTACGTCCTGGTACCTTCAAGGAAGTGGGTTGGCCCTGCTCTCGGGGCACTTAAATATGTTTGGATTTTCGCTCTCCGGGCCCTATCAAATGATTGACATTTTAAGGTGATGAGTCAGGTAAGAAGCCTCAAGCATTAGCCAACGGCATACCTCAGAGGAGACAGCATGAAGATGGTCCCAGGAATCTCTGGAAATCTTACAAGTATTGCATGAGACCAGAGATCCATAAATCATTCTGACAAAATTACAGGGCAGAGTTAAGTCTAGTCTGGGGTCTGTATTCTTCCCCCACGGTTTTACTGAGCTGCAGTTCATGTACAGAAACTGCACGTATTTGACGTGCGCAATTTGATATTTGACCTATGAATGTACCTGCGAAACCATCACCACAATCAAGATAATGAACGTGTCCATCACCCCCAAGTTTCCTCATTTTTAGAATTTTATGTAAATGGGATCATGCCATATGTATTCTGTTTCTGGTCTGGCTTCTTTCGCTCAGCGTAATCACTTTGGATCTGGACCACATGGCTGCAGGTGTCAGCACACGCTGCATCGCTGAGGAATGGGGCCCTGGGCGCCACAGCTTGTTTGCCCGTTCACCTGTCGGTGGGCGTTAGGGGTGTTTTCAGTTTGGGCTGGTACATAAAGCTGGTACGAGCACTTGTGTACAAGCCTTTGTGTGGACACAAGCTTTTCATTCCTCCGGGGAGGATGCCCATGAGTAGAAGGCTGGTCATAAGGAGTCACTTTAGAGTAGCTGACAAACTGGCTCCCAGCGGTCCTACCATTTTACATTCCCACCAGCAGTGTGAGAGAGCTCCAGTTTGACCAGTCTTTTTAATTTTGGCCATTCCAATAGGTGTGTGGCAGTATCTACACAATGGCTTTATTTTGCGTATGGCGCTGTATTTAAAAATGTAATTTAGAAGGGCTGGCCCCGTGGCCGAGTGGTTAAGTTCCCGCGCTCCGCTGCAGGTGGCCCAGTGTTTCGTTGGTTCGAATCCTGGGCGCGGACATGGCACTGCTCATCAGACCACGCTGAGGCAGCGTCCCACATGCCACAACTAAAAGGACCCACAACAAAGAATATACAACTATGTACCAGGGGGCTTTGGGGAGAAAAAGGGGAAAAAATAAAAAAATCTTAAAAAAAAAAAAGTAACTTAGAACACAAATTCTAGGATTATCAGCTATACTACAAATGTACACATACCTCCAAGTAAGGCACTCACGACCCTGCAGTCCTGCTTTGTCGTCTAAGACAAAGCTGTGAATACCCCGCTTCTCCCAGGACAGAGCTGCTCGGAGTGGAGTGTGAATAGTTGCAGTCACGTGATCAGGTGGACCGGCTGTTCCTCCGCGCTCCCTTCCCAGGTCCTTGTCGCGTCTGTGGCGCATCTAGACCTACACGCGCCTGCAATGCTTGCTGGCGGCTGCCGCTGCTCCCTGAGCCGCTCTGTCAGGCGCGAGACTGTCCCCGCGCCGTGCTGCCATCGGCAGGCTTCCCCTTCCAGGGCCACAGCTGCACCAGGCGCGGGGCTTTTCCGGCTGGTCCCCTCGGCCTGCTGCTTCTCTTATTGCTGTATGAGCCGTTGCGTTTCCTCCCTGGTGGCTGCCCCTGCTCGCTCCAGCCCCGCCATCCGTGCGCTGCGCCCTGGAAACTGCAGGGAGCCTTGACGGGAAGAGGGACTGACTTTCTCTCCTTTACACATAGCCTGTGGAGGGGCCCTGAAGCTGCCTCAGAGGGTCTCTATTTTTACCTAGGGCCCTCTCTCCCTTGAAAATACACACTCACTTTACGCATGATGAAAACTGAGGTTCAGATTGTGTAAGTGATTTGGCCAAAATTACCTCTTGAGAAGATAGTAGAGACAGGAAATAAATCCAGCATGAAACTCATTCCGCTAAAAACACGTCCGTGTTTGTGTATGTATGCAAATACATTCATCTATCCACTTAAACTTGCAGCACATTATAACATAGGGACGCCACCGTGATTTTAATGCCATTTGATTAAAAAAAAAAATAGGTAGTTCAAGACAACTAGTAATCAGTGTCATCATTCTGATTAGTTATAATTGATAAAAACTGCAGAAGAGTGGCTTGCACTCTGCTTTGGCAGCCCGGGTCCGCAGCTTCAGATCCCAGGCACAGACCTACGCTATTTGTCAAGCCACACTGTGGTAGTGACTCACTTATAAAGTTGAGGAAGATTGGCACAGATGTTAGCTCCTAATCTTCCTCAGGAAAAAAAAAAAAACTGCCAAAGATAAGTCATGGAAAATAAAATGAACTTTTAATGAGCAATAGTGTCAAAGGTTAAAAAAAGCAATTAATATTAAACACAAATGTTGAGGAACGTTGTTCTTCGGTTTTTATTTTTCAAAAGCCACACTCAGCAGATCTTCACTAACTTTTTTTCTTTCTGAGAAAACAAAGTGCCTTTTTTGTACTTAATATTAGCATGGTTACTATAAATGATGAAAATGAAAAGCCTTATTTTTATTGTTGGGAAATCTAGTAGTAGAGTGACACCACTGAGAACTCATACAGAAATTGTTGATTTTCAAATCATTTTGGCAACAAAAATTACCTGAAACCTTAAATAAATAGTTGCATATCTCCCAGAGCTCAGAAACTTCTGAGCTGAACAAAGGGGGCCCTTGAAGCTAACAGGTGATTTTCCAGAGCTGTGACGGGCAGCTTTATTGGGATGTGGGCTCTCCAAGCTCAGAGGCATCCTCACGGCGTATTATTAGTGGAATCTAAAGAGAGGGTGTAGCCCAGTGGTGACAGAACAGGGTTAGGAACACGATTCCTCCTTTCTCAGTGTGGGTCTCCGCAGGGCCCACTGCACAGGCTTTCTCGGTGTGTGGTCCATGAGTCGCCTAAATCAGAAGCTCCTCGGTGACTTGGGGATTCAGATTCTGGGCCCATGGTGCCCCTGAATCACTGTCTGATGGGGCCAGGGAATATGCATTTAGGAAAATCTCTTAAGGGGTGGCCGGCCCAGTGGGGTAGTGGTTAAGTTCACACTTAACCTTGAGCAGCCCAGGGTTTGCAGGTTTGGATCCTAGGCACGGACCTAGCACTGCTGGTCAAGCCACACTGTGGCAGCATCCCACATAAAGTAGAGGAAGATTGGCACAGGTGTTAGCTTAGTGACAATCTTCCTCAAGCAAAAAAAAGAGGAGGATTGGCGGTGGATGTTAGCTCAGGGACAGTCTTCCTCACACACACACACACACAAATCTCTTAAGGGCTTCTTGTCCATTCTGGAGTGTAAGAGCCCCCATCACAGGAGGCATTCTTGCTCGAAATGTCACAGAAGCTGGCAGTGAGACGTAGCAACAGCTGGAGAAGAAAGGGTTACGGCTTTAGGCAGACATTGCAGTACACACACCGTATGTTCTAAGGAATCTGATGCTGAGTGTTGCGTGTGGGCACAGCCCCACAGTCTGCAATACAGCGTCACCCTTTGTAAACAGTTCTCCACCTGGAAACCGGAACCACATACACGCGAGTAACACAGTTCAGGCCCTGAGCCCCGCAGAGGAAGCTCCCTGTGCAGCCGCCGCGAGCTGTGCTGTCACCACACCGGGCGCTGGGAAAGCGCGGCAGACGCGCTGCCACCCGTGCAGGCGGTGACTGGGGCGGGTGGGCCCTGCGGAGGCGCCGAGAGCTACGTCGGCGAGGAATTCCTGCTCTTCGACTCTTCTTTTTTGTTGCTCTTATACTAATTGAGAAATTACTTAAATTCAACTTGGTATCCACTAAGAGCTTGACACAACTTAAAATTTCCATGTATTTTATTCAGGAACCGATAGCCAATCAGAGCAGTGAGCCTAGCGCCGCGTGCCGGACGCCGGGCGGAGGCTTGACTGATTGGCCTTCGATGACATTCACAGTCCCACGGGGAAGGACCGGAACTACCTTATGTTAGAGGCAAGGAAACAGGTTTGAGAGGCTAATAACAAGCTCATGCGTCTTGTAAGTCATAGGACCCAGCGCCGACCGCGCCCGTCCACCTGCCCAGCGCGCTGGGCGGGCCGCCCCTGAGCCGGCGAAGGTGCACGCTGCGCCCGCGCTCCCGGGGGACTCCAGCCGCGGACATCCTTCCCACGCAACACGTTCATGGAGGATCTACAGTGTGCAAACCCGTGGGTCAACGCCCAGTGTTTGTTAAACTGAACGGGGCTGCGCTGCAGTTCAGAAAGCGGAAGTCGGCTGAGCAAGGAGCCCCGCCCTCCGGCACGAGCCCTGCCCCCAAAGAAGAGGGCGAGAGAATGAGCGGCCGCCACTCGAGGTCAAGGCTGAAATGCGGGGAATGCTAACTGCATAGGCTGTGAGAGTCTGGCAAAGGGGGAAATTAAGCCTGCTCCGCGGGCTGCTCTCTCTGAGACCGTGGCAAGCACGACGGTGTCCTATTGAAAACAGTGTGGAAAGCTGCCTAAATGTTTACTAACAGAGGACAATTAGATAAATTATGTACTCACACCATGTAATATTAAACTGCGATTTGAAATTCTGCCACAGCAGGAAAAAGGGCTGTTGGTGAGGAAAGATGTGCACCGTCCAAAAGTGAAAACCAGAACAAAATAAAGTGAAAGTATCAGGTTGTGTCGACGAGTTTCCCTCCAAAATTGGGTGGGCCGCATCCAATCAGTTGAAGGCCTTAAGAGAAAAGAGCGAAGTCCTTGGAGGAAGAGGGAATTCTGCCTCTGGACGGCGACGTCGAAGTTCTGCTGGGGCTTCCAGCCTGCCCCGTAGACTCTGGACTGAAGATCGCAGCATCAGCTGTCACCTGAATGTCCCCACTGCTGGCCTGGCTGTGGGGTGTAGACTTGCCAGCCCCACAAAGGAGTGAGCCAAGTTTCAAAAGTCTCTTTTTCTCATTTTCACTCTCTCTCTTTCTATTTCTGTCTCTTTCTGCCCCTCTGTCTCTCACTCTGTGTGTGTATTAGTAACAATTATTGTATATTAGTGTAACTATATTGTGTTTATTATAATAATATGAGTGTTGTTGGTTCCGTTTCTCTAGAGGACCCTTACTAAAGCAGCAGCGTGAAGGACCCATGGGGATCCTCTTTACCAGACCTTTCTTTAAAGACGAGGAAAGGCACGTGAGGAAGGAGTTGGGTATTTTCACAGCATTTGCTCTTTCCCTCCGTGTGTAGGATCTAATATATCCTCACAGCGGCCTCGGACCCGGGAGTTGGCATCATTTTCTCTGAGCCAACATGCTTGAAAGAGAGTCTCACCCCGCAGCAAGCGCATCTCCCTGAGACGGGGTCTGCGTGTGGCGGGTCTTCTCTGCAGTTGACATGTGTGGTTTCCCTGGATTCTCCCTCCCGCCTCCTCCAGGCAGGAAGCCCGGTCTTTAACAGCCTCTGCCAGGAGGCAGAAGCCTCTTGATTAGCGGGTCTTTTGTAGAAGCCTTAGTCCCTGGCAGCCGGAGCCCGGAGCACGGGGTCTTCAGGAGCACAGGGCACAGCGGGCTCTTGCCTCCGGCCGGCACGAAGGGGGCGAGGTGCGCTGGTCCTGTGAGCACCCTGCCTTCTGCTCCACGCTTGGCGATCCTTGCGGGGAGCCTGGACACTGGCACATAATTTCCACACCTCGCCAAGGGAGACGGCTGCAAGGACGGGGAGAAGGCAGAGGCTGGGGGCAGCAGGAACAACGCAGAGAGAGACTGTGGGCAACCCGCCCCACTGCCAGGCAGGACGGGGTCGGCAGGAGGAGCCTGATTCTCGTCCCTGCCGAAGCCTCCAGGACTTCTCAGCACCCTGGTGATAAGTGAGCTTGCACGTCGGGGCAGGCTAGTGGGGCTGCGCTCAGAGTGGGACTGGTGTCAACTTAAAGAATATGCATCCTTCATGTGTGTAGACACACACACACTTGTATAATATACACACGTATATGTGTTATACAATAATATTTCTGGCCTCCTTGTCTGAGTTAACAGGTTTGTGTCAACGACACTGACAAGGGTGGTGGGAACAGAGGAGCAGAAGTTTCTAGAAGTGTGATGAGTGATAATTTTAACACAATTTTTTTTATTTATCTGTAGTTTAAACTCTTTAAATTTCCTAAGATCTGAAATAACCAGTTATAAAACTGGGCAAACTAAAATAAGTGATAAAATGTTCTGTTGCTATTATAAAATGTAATCCCAGTGAGATCACTTAATATATGTTTTTTCAGACACATTCTTGTACTGTTCTTAATGCAACAAAGATCAGGAAAAAAGAAACAAAATATCAGAGACCTCAAGTAATGGGCACTAAACTCACTTTATTACTCAATATTTTCTTTTATTATGAAATAAGCATTTTTTTTTTAAAGATTTTATTTTTTCCTTTTTCTCCCCAAAGCCCCCCGGTACGTAGTTGTGTATTCTTCGTTGTGGGTTCTTCTAGTTGTGGCATGTGGGACGCTGCCTCAGCGTGGTCTGATGAGCAGTGCCATGTCCGCGCCCAGGATTCGAACTAACGAAACACTGGGACGCCTGCAGCGGAGCGCGCGAACTTAACCGCTCGGCCACGGGGCCAGCCCCATGAAATAAGCATTTTTAAATCTATGGTTAAAGGCATACATTAAAAAAATAACATTTTGCAATAAGAGTAAGGACATTTTCCTGGTGATTTTATTGAGGTAGTTTTGTCTTCCTCAAGCACAGTTTCAAAGTAAAGGTACACAACATAAAAAAAAAATAAAAAATTAACTCTTTAAATTTCCTAAAATAAATACAGATTATTTTTATAATTTAACTAATATTTTAAACATTTATATTTTTATGTATTATGTTACAACATAAAAAGATCCTTATAGCATAAATTTAGAGAAAGAAACAGAATTCTAAGTGGTATCTACAGTATAAGAACTATTTTTTTTATAAAAGTAAAATAACATCCAAACAGACAAAAAGAAGCCTATATAACCACTTATAGAGAAAAGATTGGAAAGAAAGAGCAAAAATGATGTTACTGTGATCATCTTCAGGGCTCTCTTTTGCTTTTTTCTACTTTTCTGACATTTCTAAGGACTTTTGAGTGTGTATCGCGTTTTTCTCCTGCCCGGAGCCCCAGTGCGTGGTCGCATATTCCAGCTGTAAGTCAGTCCAGGTCTTCTGTGTGAGCCGCTGCCACAGCATGGCTCCTGACAGACAGTGGTGTGGTTCCGCCCCTGGGAACCCAACCCCGGCCGCTGGAGTGGAGCACGCAGAACTTGAGCCACTAGGCCGTCAGGGCTGGCTCAGAGTGTGCATCATTTTTTAAAAGGCAAAACTTTGCAGGGAATTTAACTATTTTAATAGTCCCTGGATATAAATACTACTCCACAATAAGCTTTTTAAAATCTTGCTTCTCTGGCTATTGTTTTCTGTTCAAACTATAAATCCTTGGAAAGTGTAGAATTTGCCATTTCTACCTAAACTTTGCTAAATGAAAATTTAGTAAGCAAAAATCCTTTTTAAAGCCTTTCTGTCTCCAACACACACACACACACACCCTCACTCCCATACTCACGGACATACACGTATACACTCATACACACTCACTCGCATATATCCTCACAGCCTGACGGAAACGAATGAGTGGGGCAGTGGCCTTCCTTTGACCTCTGCAGGCGGGATTACACCTCCAGGGGTCCTGACAAGGCGTTAAATTCGAGAAGAAGGGCCCACACGTGGGGCATGAATGACCAGGTGTGGGCCCTGGAGTGCAGAGCTCCAGTGAGGCCCTGGCAGAGGGCACAGGGGACAGATGTGGATTCTAAAGGCCCCAAGGTGGCCCAGGTGGCTGGCGAGCAGTCCTGTGACCGGACGCACCCCTCCCAGGTGTGCGTTGCCAGGACCACTGACTCCTAGGTGTGCTGTGACGTGAGGACGCCCTGCTGTCCCCTCCTCCCCGGGCTCCGCCCCGCTGGTCTGTCCCCCACACTGGCTGCGGTTCTGGGGGAACCTCTGCGGCTTCCTGTGGTCTGTTTGCTGTCGCCAGCAGGCCTCTGGCCACCTGAGGCCTCTCTGTCACAGCCCCTGGCCGTGGACGCCTCACCTTGCGCTTGTCCTGGAAGAGCCAGGCGAGGCCCAGGTGGTACGGGCGACGGTCATGGCTTTCTTATGGTCAAGCTGACACTTTCTGACGCTCTCCTTGCTTCCTGCAGGCCTGGCTTCTCCTGTTTCCCTGAACCTCGTGAACTTACTTTGCTTTCCTTGCTTTGCTTTCCTTGCCTTGCAAGTCTGCCGGAGACAAATTCTCAACTTTTGTTGGTCTGCAAATGTCTTTATCTTGCTTTCAATTTTGAAAGACATGGTATTGTCTAGAAATAAAATTCTAGATCTTTCAGCACTTTGGAGGTGTTTTCTTTTATTTTCTGGCCTCCGTTGTCGTTACGAAAAGTCAATCAACGTCTCTTTTATGGTTCGCTGTATACAGTGTCCTTTCCCTGCTCCGGCTGCTTTTAAGATTTTCTCTTTATCTTTGGGGTCAGAAGTTTCACCCTGAGTATACCCAGATGTATACTCTTGTTTTTTGGTTTTTTTTTTTTTACCCTGATTTGTGATTCACTAAATTTGGGCCTGTTGGTCGATGTTCCATCAATTTTGGGAAATTCTCACCTGTTATCTCCTCAAATATTTATTCTGTACCATTCTCTCTCCCCTCTCCTTCTGGAACTTTAATGACCTGTATCTTAGATCATTTGATCTTGTCCTTCAGATCTTGTACGCTTTGTTCCCTTTTTCTCCTTTTCTTTTCAGTTTGGATAATTTCTGTCACTTGTTCTTGCTACACCCAATTTGTTGTAAAGCCCATAGATGGAATTCTTCATTTGTGCTATGGTATTTTTTATATCTAGCATTTCTATTTGGCCCTTTTTTGTAGTTTTCATCTCTGTGCTGAAATTCTTCATCTGTTCACACATATTGCCCAGCTTTCCACTAGATCGTTTAGCATATTTATCATAGTTATTTTAAAGTCCTTATTTCGAAGGGCTGAAATAAGTCTAGATATAACTTTATTTACTGTCCTCTCTCTTGACTGTAGGTCATATTTTCTTCCTTTGCTGCATGTATTGTACTTTTTATTGTGTGCCAGACATTGTGTGTAAAAGCAGAGTAGAGACTGAAGTAAACAGTGTTTACCCCCAGGAAAGGTCGCGCCCTTGCTTCTGTCTGGTTGTGTTGTGGCCGCCGAATCAGCCTGATCTGCGGTCGAGCTCAGCTGGGCTTTGTTGAAGCTTTAGTTAGACTGAGTTAGTTCGCCACTAGCTTCAGATGTTTTTGAGGAAGGGGTCGTGACTTTCCCCCGGCACAACTTAGTAGCTGAGAACCAGCAAGACTCTGGGATCTTTTCGTGCCACACAGACACCTGCCATGTGAGGTGAGGAGATTTCTCTCAGCTTCCTCACCAGGACGTTCTCTCTGGCCTCCAGTCCCTCCCTCGTCTGTCTGTCCTTCGGGGCATCATCCCCTGGCCTCAGCCTTTGGAAGTTCACTGCAGGGCGAGGGCTTGCAAGATCTAGGAGGGACTTCCCTCATCTCTCCTGCCACGTCCCTACATTCGGCAGGCGGCTGCCCTGTGCTTGGGGCCAGCTTCCTGGGTGTGTGGCATGCAGTCTCAGAAGGCCAGGTGCTTGGTTTAGCGTCCTGCTGTAGCTGTCCTGAAGTTCTTCATAATTCTATCTTTGAACTTGTGTTTTGTAAGTGAAGTCTGATGGGACAGTGGAGCATGCGCACGAGCAGTGGAGACACACCGGGCAGTGTGCAAACACAAGCTGGCTCAGACCTGCGGGCACAGGAAGCTCAGGCCTTCTGTCCAGGCACCGTAAGGTGGCCACGTCAGAACCCAGACTGGCAGCGGCAATGGTGGCAGCCGTGGCAAAAGCAGCAGTGGCCATGATGTGTGTCTGTGTGTGTGGGGGGCTCCTTTTAGGGTAGCAGGGGCCCTGCCACGGGACGCTAGCTTGTCTGTCCATCCACAAATCCCAGGTCGGTGGCATCTGCACAAATGTCACTCTTTGGCCTGAATGCCAGCACAGGGAGGGCCAAGTAAATCTTCAAAGCATAGGCACATGGACATGGCAATCAAGCGGATCAGGGAGTTAATTCAGCAGCTTCCATCCTGGAATATGTTTGGTTGGGCACTTGCTGGAAAATCAAGCACGAATGCAGAACATTAGCACGGACCCAGGACGGCCGAAATACACAGCCTACCAGCCTTCCCAGCGTGAGGCGCTTCTGCTTTCACCACCCTTCCCTCCCCATCTCGCACCCATGTTTTCCAGCTACACGGCATGCCACACTTGTAAAAACTACTGTGACCTCTCAGGCTTGGCTTCCTCCTTCTCACTTAAGTTCACTCCTGGAGCGCAGGAAATTGGGGAAAATTGTCCTGAGTCCTCCACGCAGGGATCCCTCATTCCAGGCTGCGCTGTGCAGTGTGGGAAAAGGGCAGACTTGGGCCCGAGGAAGAGACAGGGCCGCCTAATGGAAGAACCTGAGAGAGGCCACACCTTCACGTAGCTGTCACTGGGCCCCTCACTCCTCTGCCAACACCAAAGCAGGGAGCCGGCTGGGCCGTGTCCTCCACCCCCTCCTCCACTCCCCAGTATCTTTTAAGTTTTTAAAGTTTTCTTCTTTGAAGTCACTCTTAATGTTTATTTTAGCCCATTTAAAGTGCTGGTGACTGGGAGAGGTGGGAAAGGCACAGAAGTCTGGCAAATCCTGCTCATCCTTGAAGACCCAGTGTGGACGCCACCCCTCTTGAAGGCCCGGGCCAGCTGGGCCCTACCCGCGGTGAGGCCCCACAGCACCTGCACTGCCCTCAGCTCCCGACACTCCCCATTCCTGTGGCCGCACAGGAAACTTGTACAACTTCAAGGGGGAGCTTAGCTTTCTTTCCTGTCTGAGAAAGGTTTGTAATGGATGCTTCGGTCTTCGGGGGAGGGGGAACTGGTTCTTAGTCCCTTGGCGTGAAATTTTTGTTCTCGTGAAAGAGCAGGAGGGGAGAAGGAAGACATTGCTGGAAGTTAAAAGGAAGATGTAACACAACAGAATACTACTCAGCCATAAAACGATGACATCCAGCCATTTGTGACAACATGGGTGGACCTTGAGGGTATTATGCAAAGTGAAATTAGTCAGACGGAGAAAGTCAAATACCGCACGGTCTCACTGGTAAGTAAAACATAAAAGCAGTGGCAAACAA